AATGAGCTACTCTCTGCATCTTTGCAGGAAGGTTACATAGGATCAAGAGGCTATCCTTGAGATTTGGTACCATTTTAGCAATTAAAAGCAGCCCTAAAAATCATCTACATTGTCGAACCAAAGGAAATTCATAGTTTTTGAGAGCAAAACTCATTTGAGGATGAGAGAGATATAGCAGGTCCCTTTGGATGGCTTTAAAAGGAAAATCAACCCTAGGAACAAATATGACCTCCCAGAAGGAAACTGTGTATGCTCATATGTGGTCGTGCACACACAAGCTTGAGGCATGATAATTCAGACAACTCAACAGTAGGATACTGGGGTACATGCCATCATATGACAAGAGAATACTCAGCAACAAAAAGAAAACATTTCAAAATCACTTCCATAAACAAAAATGGTGTGATCTCCCCGTCACCCCTAAAATGGATCCTGACTGATTTTATAAAGGACATTCTAGAGCCTACCACTTGAAGGGTCGAGAGATTCATATTTCAGTATTGTGGCACACATCCCTAAGTCTGCGTTCCACCCCCCACCTCTAGAAGACAACTCAGATTCCAGAATGAAGCAAGAAAGAGCTGGAAAACACAACAATGCAGGCTGCAGTGTACTTCATCGCTTGAAACGTTTAATCTACTGATCCCTCAGTATTATTTTGTGAGCAAACACCAATACATTTTGCTTACCAACAAACATGTTTTCAGGAGAGGTACAATCCAGAGAGCTCTTTGCAAGACTGCTTACTACTAGTACGTTTTAGGCAAACAAAACCAAAACCCTGAAGTCATAAAATTTAGATACACAGACTGTTTAAAATTGGAGCATAGATTTGCCCCACATTAGTGGAATCTTTCTTTAAAACACTAAAAGGCAATATAGCTGTAAAAGCTAACAATATACTGCTACAGAGCTAAAAATAATATATGACAAGTTATGAAATCAGAGGAATACCTCCTGCTGCCCCTACTTTGATGGCTTCAGTAAATCAGATACTACTCTCACATTCAATTGTCCTTGCTAGCAACAAAAGGTGAGATCACTTCTGTCACTTTGCTCATCTTTCACTAGATCTTTTTTATGATGCAGTGCTAAGTAAGTTACTACGTTACTTAAAAGAAAGGGAAGACAAAGCAAGTTAGAAAATTAACCATTACTGTATGATGACATATATATACAATCTTATCTGCTCCAAGCATACGTTACATTTAACAAAATCTGTCATATACAATATACCCATATGAATTTAATTTCTGAGAGCAGAAGAATGTAAAGGTTCAATGGTATTCACCATTCGAACAAAAGCAGATTTAAAGAAAGCTAATCATCTACCTTATTTTACATAGCTAAGTCATTAACACCAATAATTGGAACTTACAAGCAAGACACCCCCTGAATCTGACATGTAAACGCCTACTTCAGATTTGCAGGGAACATGGGAAGAAACCTAAGACTCCCATTACAGAAAAGAGGTATGCCCATGGTTTGTCCAGAGGTAGCCAAAGTAGCCTGAGTGCTGAGAACAAAACTGCCCCAGCAGCACGCAGGCTGCAACGAACACCTCACCACCTGGGTAGGTAATCGGGCACCTGCCTACTCAGAAATCCACGCTACCATAACTATCCTCCCCTCAGTAACAGAGTTTATCTAGATTAAAACTAATATGGTCATTTCCTTAGTACACTCTATTTCTACAGTCCTCGCCAGGAGGGAAAACAAGAAGGCTAAGCTGAGGGTCTAGCTCTCCAAAGGTTCAAACCAACATTTTCTCTTTGCGTGACTATCAAATCTAGCCTCCAATTTTCCCTCAGTATTTGTTGTAAACCATTCATAGTCTTTACCAGTGGCTTCATATGGATGTGGTGTGTAGAACCAAGATAACAAAGCCTTATATGGACAAGTAGCACTTGAGACAAAGTCATTTCACACACATTACTCAATAACGTTGCAAACAGGCTAAGAAAGCAGTCCTGAGTGCCCTACGAAAGCTCTTTGCTACATCTACGTTGACAAGCATAACTCAATTTGCTTTATAAATAAAACACTACAGGATTGTATTAAGGACACTGTGGCATACTTTGAACAACGGCAGACTGCCTGCTCTGCAGTGCAAGATGGTGGTAGAGGGAAGTGGAGGAAGAAGAAAACCCTGCCTCTGCGGGGCCCTCTTGCTTCCCACCCCTTCCCACTTACTCAACTGCACCAGAGGAGAGAGGCCTGCTCTCTGCCCCAGCACCACCTTGGTACAAACAACAAGCAAAACGGCCACAGGCTCCTCTAAACTCCAAGTGGACAGTGCATGCAGGCAAAGAAAATAATCTTGAGGATGAACGTGGCCCAGACACTACCCCAGAGCCCAATCTGGATGCCCAGTTCTCACATTGCAAGGCCTCTAGTTGTACGTGGAGGGAACTAGCTTTACTGTCTCATAACAGCCAGCCAAGATGATGAACTTGAAGCAGTTCTCAGTTTCTGCTGGTTTTGTTTCTAAAAAGCTCAGTCGTAAGAAGAATCATTTTCCATCTTGTTTTTGCTGCAGTCAATGAGCAGGCATCAGGGTGCCTCTTTCCATGCAAAGAAGGGCCTTCCCCTCAGAGGGATTTACAAACTGCAGCCTACGTAGCGTAACTTTACCCAGAGGTGTAATAACACCCCTTTCATAGCACAAGAATAGGTATTAGTACTACTATAATTTATTTACGAAGGCAGATTAGAAGCTAAGTCAATTGCTTTTAAAGCCCTTGTGCACCTGTCCACACGACTGTGCCATTGTTGGCAGATCTTCTGTTCATGCTAAGTTCCCCTGGTGCAGAGAGTCAGCAGAAGGCCAGTTTGCCACTCACCCGGAGAGCACAAGGGGGAATCTCAGCACAAGGAGAAGGTAATTTTCCCTCAACAGAGTGGCACCAAGAGCACAAATGAACAACCACTGCTCCACTCACAGGCAAACAGCTTCCTGAGTAAATACCCCACCACTAAAGAAACCGTTTCTCCTGGATGAGCATGTCCCATTCTCATAGTCAAAAATCTCACAACACAACCTTTTCCAGTGGCATTGAGGTTGAAGACTAGATCAGCAACCCTGAGTACAAAGCCATCTGCCCAACCAAGGACAAGCATGCAGTATTACCTGCTCTTACAGAGTCACCAGCCCTCAATATAGATGAGACTAGATTGAGGGCAGTTAAAGGATTCAGTCTGGAGACTGATGGAGTAGCTGATGCCTCTGCATTATGCAGCCAAAGGGAAGAATGGGGCAGAAGGCACTGCATGAAAGGCAGAAGGCATACCTACATGTATTTATATACAGCTGTACAGTATCTTCTACATTCCACAGCTTCAAACATACACTATACTACCAGGCAAAAGGTAAAAACCTGGCCATATTCATGTAACTGTTCTTACATAAAAACGAATACTACTTGCAAACTCACTACTTCAGGGTCATACACACAGACTGTAAATATGAAACTTTTCAGCAGGAACTCTCTGTCCTTATTACAGAAATAATAAAACAGCACCCCCAAATTATTTAGACCTATAAATTTCAAAGCTGTATCAGAATGTAAGTCAAACATATGTTTAAAACCAATGTTTTGAATAGTTGCACATCAGAGTCACTGATGAGAGATAAATAGTGGCCTCCAATTTGAGGCACGTGGAGGAATTTCTCCCTCAAGCAGTTCATTATGAATACTAACAAGGCTTTCCCTTTTCAAATTCCTAGTAGCAGAACAGGTGACCCAAAGGATACCCTTTTGCTGCATTTCTGCAACACAAGTCTTAAATGTGTTGGAGGGCTCTTTTCCCTAGTATGAAACCATCTATAACTCACTCAGCATTGAGAGTGACATCGCACTTGAATAATCTTTAGGTATGCACTTTGCAACATTTTCATTTTTAAAAAGTACTTTTGAGTTTCAGAAAGGCCCAGTGAAATTTCTCTGGAGGGAAGACACACTTAACAGCACATTTCCAGCTACTGAACACAGGCACATTAACATATTTTTTAACAGCTTCTGTGGAGAATGCTCTCTGCTCTAAGTTGAGAGCAATCAAGTGGAAATCAGAAGTTGCACTGCAATACATCAGTGCTGAAGCTGCAGTCATAGCTCTTTAAAAACAAATATATAAGCAGACCGATAGTATCAAGAAAACTGCATATTCTCTGATAATCCGCTGTTGATGAGTGGAGATTCTACTAACCTCCTACTAACAAAGAAGAAATTAATGGATAGAGGTCACATTCATTCTACTAGAATTACCTGCTTGGACAAGTGTTAGTGAATTGTCATGTCTCTGAGCAGTTACAAAGATCTGGTCTTTCTACAAGTAATATCCTGAGCTTATGCTCCCGACTGCCCCAGAAAATAAAAATAATTGCAACTCCCGCTTCTTTCAATGCTTACAGCCTACCTGCTGTATTCTACATTATAACTGTACGTGTACACTGAATACAGATGCAGCTTAAGGCCTGAAATGCCTATTCAAAGAAATGACAGTTTACAACTAGCTTAAGAAAGAAGCACATGGAATCAGAGATTTTTCTTTTTTTTTTTCCACTGTTATCTCCCAGTCCTGAACAGTATTCACACATTAAACACTTAAACCAAGATCATAAACAAAATCAGGCAGGATAAAAAGATTGAAAGCATTATTGGAAGTGACTTGTTAAAAGTGTAAGCCTACAGATAATGCATTTCAGCAAGTTTAGCTATTATTTGGTCAATACTTCTCATTTGGCATAATGGAACATGATTGATAGCCAAACGAGTGGCATTCTTTCTTTTACATCCTGAGTCAAGCAAGTAAGCCAGTAAAAAAGAACAAAACATTTCAGCAGAACAGGACATTTCAACAAAGCATACACCTCCTCACACAGATGCAAGTGCTGTATTCTTTATTTCATTACTTTACTCTGAAACACATTTCAGAACTCTTCTACCAATTCCCTCAAGACAAAATGTGAAAATACTTTAAAAAACAAAATGAAATCTTACGGCTGGAAATGCAGTAAGCCAGTCTGCAGTTGATCCTCCTGAACAGTTGCTTGTTGATTGGCCAAAGTATAAGTGTAAAGAGTTGAATGAAGTTAATGATCAGTCCTGACACTATAAATATGTAGCAGATCAGAAGGTGGCAAATGAATTGAGACTTCAGAAAGCCAACGATGTCCATTATTTGCTGAGAAAGCAAGAGGGTACCTTCAGACCCAAAATTCAGAAGACAACCTGCAAAATCAAACAGTATCAGTGGTTACAGAGTGCATTTATTTCTATAAACAGACCATTAATACAGACTTCCTATTTTACACTTAAATACACTACATTAAAATGAAAGCTAATTCTATTGTAGAAAAAGGCCTGACGACAATATTTGCAAAATTAAGCATGAAAAGAGAACACCATATTTCTGAATCAATTTAAATTCGGCTTTGGAAACACATGTTCACATTTCAGTCCTAATTCTGTAAAACCCATGAGCATATGGCTCCATTCCATGGACTACAATACTCCTCTATCAGGTCTTTATTGATAACATATGAGCAAAATAACCCACTTACACTTTTATTTGAAATGTCTGTACTTCATAAGACATATACTATGGCCTCTGCTATCTTCAAGACCAGCTCCACACTAAACACAAGCTTTAGAGCTTCATGTTAGAAGTTGTGCCTTCCTCTGCAGCCTATGCCTGCCATGCTCCCCAACCGAGAAGTAGGAGCAGCTCCTTAATTCTAGCTTTATTGGTTTGTTCCCTTGTCACATTCAAACATCAGTTGATTCTGGCAAAAGAATAAAAGCTTGGCTATGCACAACACATGCAATTTATTCAATTACTCCTTGAAATTGTAATTCTGTCAGTTATACTCCATAAGCCCAGAAAGGAAACATCAATAACAGTACTAACCAATGAACCAGCAGTGTTTCCAAAAGAAAAAAGATCAACTCTTAGGTTACTTGGGAAGTGTTTGTATAATTTTGGAAAGGACCAGTCCTACCTTAGTAGCTGAGCATTCAGAGTAACTGTCTTCTGCCAAGTATTCTGGCCTACCAAATACTGTATGGACCTCCCGCAACCATCACTTACCACCAACACTAGTCTCATTTGTTAGGAGAAAAAATATGAAGACATGACCTCTCAGTAAACATCACCCCAGTCTTTTGAATACAGTTAAGCAGGAGGTGCTGCCATCCTGTTCCATTCCTACACCGTTTCTCCCTCTGAGGTGGAGGAGTTTGCCCAGGGAGGAAGCCCTGTGACAGTGATTCTGAATGTATCAGTCATAGGCAATAAAAAAACAACAGCTGTCAGCATCCCAGGGAATTAACTGATGAAAAAAATCTTTATGCCTATCCTTTTAGTTTATATGAGACCCCATTATGTGAGGCACTAAGTCTAGATCAGTGTCCTGAAACATTTGTTTTACTGCCCTTGCTGACTCTGCTTACCACAGCAAAGAGCACACACTGCAAAGCCATAGGAAGTTATTTAGCCAGGTTTTCAACCGCAAGGAAGATGAAGAAAAATTTAAGAAAGAGAATCCGTATTGTTGTATAATTTATATAGAGAATTTATGGCAGACCCAAGCCTATTATTAGCAGACAAAATGTGCCCTTGTGTATTGCAGACTTTGATCCCTTTGTCTTGCTGTACTATTCAGTACCAAAGCAGACATCATCTGTAGCTCAGAACAGCAGAACAGACCTCTGTTCATTGTAGTAACTACTGTCATGATACTTGCAAAAAGCTTTTCCAGCTTTAACCAACCATTTTGTTAAAGATACGTTTCTGAGGGTGGCAGACAATTTATTAGCATGGGCTTTGACCAAAGGCTTTGTTTTTGTTGAAGGCTAAGTAGAATGAGAACTGTTGTCTAGTAGGAACCATTGCAGTAACTCATGCCCCAGCCCCTCCACTGCATGCTTTGAAGATAAAGCCCAACAATTATTTAAAAAAAAAAAAAAAAAAAAAAAAGGCAAACCCAACTTTTTAATAAGTTTAGAGTGAAAGAGATAAGATTTTGCTTCCCTAATTCAGACTACTGTACTTCACCAAGTAGAGGACTAGATCACGTCTTTAAAACAGAATGGAAGCAAACAGTTACTTACAAGTGGATGGTTTAAAAGACTGCAGCGCCCAAAACCCCAATGACTGGGTTTATCCTACTGTCCTTGGCTAAAACTGATCAAAAGTTTTTTTGTGCTAGCTGGCCTTTTAATTCTATCCCACAGAATCACTCTAATCTAATGTAATTCTCTGAGATCAGTAAGGGACTGGATCAAAAAAATTCCATAGAGCAAATAAGATCAAAGCATTGTCTACTTACAGTGGAGATCTGAAAATTCACTATTTGATCTAATCAACAGAAATAGAGTGTAGTTCACATGTTGATCAACAGACTGTGACAAAGAAGAATTCACCAGAACATTAGTCTACCAGTTTGGGGTTGGTTTTTTTCATTGTAGTAGTAGTCAAACTGCATTAAAATGTTATGTTTATGTGAATCATTTACTTCCTACTGGGTCCTTATAACAAAACTTCACAGAATTAAAATAAATGAAGATGAGATAACCCTGAAAAAACATAATTACTGTCTTATAATTTTATGAAGCCACAATGGAATGTTTGAAGTAATGTACTCCTTGCTTTCATACCTCAGTCATCACATTTCAATTCTGTAAAGCTTCTAAGACGTGTTTTAAAGGCAAACTAAATCTACCTAAGCAGCACCCCTGAAATGCATCTAACCTAACTTGCTTGTAAAGGAACAAGAAGCTAAAGCCACTGCTATTTTTTGCTTTTCCAGAAATTAGAGAGACTAGAGCAATTAATTGTCTTTTCATATTAAATGTAAGCTGCTTTCCCCACAAAATTTGCAACCCAAACATTGTATGCAAAGCACTAGCTAAGTGTTCTGTTTTTCATGCATAAGTTCATTCTAAGAATTTTTTTTTTAAATTATTTTTTTATTGTTTTCATTACCCAAGAAATGCAGTTTATTCTTGGTACCAGCAACAAAAAACTAGAAATTTATTTTCAAGAATCAATTCTGAGCTTATGAAAGAGGACTAGAAGCTTGCTTTTTCGGAGTTCACAGGAACTTCTTCCACTCGCTCTTTGTCTTCCTGAAGTTCCTCATGGGTAACATCAACTTAATACCAGTTTAAATGATAAAGAATCAGGTCTTTAATTCTTAATCCATGATGCTGGTTTAATAAATTACACTGATTTCCTTATAGATAATGACTGAAAATTACAGCAGTCTTTTGAAAACAAAAGGGCCAATCAATGCATTTTCTCAGAAGCTATTAAGATCGGAGAGCTGCCAAGAAGCTCTCTTGTATCAAACACCCCTTAAAACGAATTAGGAGAAAAGGGCTAGCCAGAGCATCAAAACCAGATAGGGACATTCGTTAATAACAGTTTTCCTTTGGATATAAAACAAAAGACTGAAACCTCAAATGTCTGTCTAGGGAGCAAGTCAACAATTCATATGACTAAGAGGTCACAGGATCAGGTTCAAAAGCAAACTCTGTGACTATTCTTTCTACGTCTTTTCCCCCCAGATCTCATTCTTCAGCAAGATCCACTATGTCTTCCACTTCAACTACTCTTAGCATTTCCTCCTCCTTAGAATAACTGACCAGAAGGACGTAGAAGGAAAGCCAGTGTTACATCAGCGATACGCAAGGTGAACACCTTTCTTCTAGCAGAGGCTGCAGCCAATTAACAATGCTATTTCATACTTCAAAGACTGTAAGAGTTTCAAGACTACAACTGGTGATCTTGTCAAGAACACAAATGCTTGGACTATTACAGAAAGTACAAGAACAAAGCAAAGAACTCTCATCCACCTTGTCCAAAGTTTATGTAATAGAGTCTTTGGAGTGTGTAAAGCAATATGGTACCTATCTGACAGCATCGGGATTAAACTAATATTGTCCATACTTACAAATAGATGCAAGACAGCACTGTACCCGGTTATTTTCAGAACAGCGTGTTACAAGCCTATGCAAAGGTTTTTCACTTATGTCTACTCTTTGATAAAGTCCTTAAATGCTTCGCTGCAAGTTAAGAACAACCAAGCATATGATGATGATGCCCATTCTTGCATTTCCTCATCTAAACCAGATTGTTGGATGGATGAGTTACAGAGACCAAGACTATGAATATATGCTCAGGTCAGACTGCAACAGTGCCAGTAGTGTCTGTAAGTGAATTTCAGTTGCCATCAGAACAGCAGAAATAGCAACACTGTACTTCATATCAGAGTCCATTTTAACAATGATTCTGTATATGAAATATATACACAAGACAAGTCACAGGAAGCCCTTGTGCTCTTCTCTGTTTCTCAGTGAGTGTCAAAGGTTAGCAAAAGTGGGGTTGTGTCCATATATGTACTTGCCTTCAAGGAGAATGTATCTATACATCCCACACAAAAAAAATAACGAAGTCTGGAGGAAGAATTATCCATCTATTTGCTTCATGCTTAATTAGGGTTTGAATCACTTCCCAATTCCCACCTCCCCCAAAGGCAACTACCAGAGCATTACCTCCTGTGTTGGGAAGATTTTGGTAGTGGGGGGAGCTGCAGGAATGATTTCTGTGAGAAGACACCAGGAGCTCCCCCAACATCAAACAGAGCCATTTCCAGCCAACTCCAGGTGGCAACTCTATGATAACACATTTAAGAAAGGGTGAAAAGTGCTGCACAGCAGCTGTGAGTGAGGAGTGAGAAAAATGTGAAACAGCCCTGCAGACACCAAGGTCAGTGAAGAAAGAGGGGGAAGATGTGCTCCAGGCACTGGAGCGGATATTCTTTTGCAGACTGTGGTCAAGACTATGATGAAGCAGGTTGTCCCAGTGCAGTCCATGGAGAACTATGGTGGAGTAGATATCCACCCTGTAGCCTGCTGGAGAACCCCATGATGCAGCAGGTGCCCTGAAGGAACCCATGGAGGGCCCACTCAGGAGCAGGCTTTCTGGCAGGAACTGCAGCCTGAGGGGGATCCAGGCTGGAGTAGTCTGTTCCTAAAGGAGAACCCAGGCTGGAGTAGTCTGTTCCCTACCCTGTAGGAGGGACCTCAGCAGGAGTCGGGGAAAAGCACAAGAAGCAGCACCAAGGAACTGCTATGGACTGATTGCAATCCCTATCCCCCAATCCCCTGTGCTGCTCCAGGTATGGTGGCAGGAGGAGGTAGAAGAATCAAGAGTCAAACTGCGCTTG